TGATTACCATATATGTTTTGCAAATGATCTTGCATTGTTATAGAGCTAAACATGCTGAATCAGTGCACTTAAGGAATTTTTTTTTAAGCAAATGACAAGAAATCAAAAAAAAAAACAATTTGTTCAAGAAACTTTATGGTTCTTAATGTTCTGATAGGTTCCTAGCTGCTCCTTCCCAGCTCCTTTGCTTATCATCATCTTCCAGACCTTTAAATATTAGAGGCACTGAGTCTGAACCCTCAGCTCTCTTTTCTATCTATACTACATGTCCTAGGCCAAATAACATCAGTGTGCTGATGACTCCCACATTTATATCTACAGATATAACATCTCCAATTCATTCCAGATTTGCATATCCAACTGCTTACTCATCAGCTCCACTTTGTTAACAACAGACATCTCCAAGTCACCATTCCCAAAACCAAATTCTTGATGTACTGCCCCAATCTTAAAAATATAATATCCTACCTTTATTATCCACGTATCTGTTATCTCAAAAAACAGCACTATCATTCAGGTAACTGCTCAGGCCAAAAATTTTGGTGTCATTCTTTTTACACTCATCTAATCCATCAACAGATCCTGACACCTCGACCTTCACAATATGTCCAAAAATTCCTCAATACTATATTCTCAAATAAGTCATCTCTTGCTTAGTCTCTACAGCAATATCCTAACTAGACACCCACTTTCACTCTTGTCCTCTAAAAGCGTCTTTATCAGGATTCATAGTAGTTCTTTAAAAACATAAATCAAATTATTCCACTTCCCAGTTCTCAGACTGAGCAGCTTCCCATCATACTTAGAATAAAATTCACATCTTTACACATCATGACCTATAAGGCCCTATATGATCTGGCCCAGGGATACCTATGAAATCATTTCTTCACACTCTCTCATGCATTCAAATCTCCCCAGCATAGAAGCTTGCCTGCAGACCTTGGACGTGCCAAACACAACACTTCTTAGGGTCTTCAAATATTCTTGACCCTATGCCTGGAACACGCCACCTGGACTGCTACGTAGTTTACTTCTCCACTTTATGCAGATCTTTCACCACAGATGCCTTTATCACTCTAGCTAACACAGAATACTGTTCCATGAGACTCTCTCTTTATCTTGCTTATTTTTCTTCACAGAACTTAAAATTGACAAACACAGTACTAAACTATTGTTCTGTCTACTTACACTGTTTTCCCCACTAGTGTACATGCTTCATGAGGACAGAAACCTTGTTTTTTTTCATCACTGTATCCCTAATATCTATAACAGTCCCTGATGCACAGTAGATGGCTAGTAGTTACTGAAAAAGTTGCTTATTTTTCTTCACAGAACTTAAAATTGACAAACACAGTACTACACTATTGTTCTGTCTACTTACACTGTTTTCCCCACTAGTGTACATGCTTCATGAGGACAGAAACCTTGTTTTTTTTCATCATTGTATCCCTAATATCTATAACAGTCCCTGATGCACAGTAGATGGCTAGTAGTTACTGAAAAACTGAACAAATTCAAGAAGTCAAATTTTCACTATGCATGACCCATAAGCATAGATAATTCAGATTTTTATCCATCATGTGCTACACTGAAAATATATTTTAAATTACCAAAGTGCTTTCCAAATACTTAAATGTGAATGTATCAAACGAATCTAAGTCTACAGAAAACTACAGTCATTAATCACAATGAGTTTGTCATACAAAATAAAAATATGTAAACTTCATTGGTGTACTCTTTCTATGAAAAAAGCTAATACATATATATATATAAATAATACATAAATGATACAGAAAATTTCCAGTGGACTTTAAAATAACGGTGCCTCCCCCGAGAGGATAAACAAAATATCCCACACCTCAGAGTAGTTGAGTAAAAAGAAAAAAGGTACTTACCTTCCTTTTTCTACCAAGAGTAAGACATCCAATTTTTCCCCATTTTGAACCATTGTGCTGATTGCTGGATGGAGAAGAGAAAAGCATAAACATATTTTTAAAAATATTACTCTAAATATCCATAAAGACACAATTATTAATACCACTTAAGCATAAGTTGCATCACGATTTTCTGTAAAAGCTACCATTATCATATGCAATAAAGAATTGTGTCCCAAAGATAAGGAGGGAGAAAAAACGTCTTACTTAGCTCTTGCAGTCTTCTTAAGTGCATTCTATCTTCCTGAACTTCTTGCATTTGAAGGCAAAAACGCAAACTAGATTTGTCCATGGCAAACCAGCCTTTTCTCCACTGATCCAGAGCATGGCAGTCTTTGTAGAAGAGTTGACCAATCAAATAATAGTCAGCTTCTGTTAAGTTTTCAGCAACAAAGGGAACAAAATGCTGTTAAGACAAATACAGAAAAGTAATAAAGACAGTGAAAATAGGAAATCCCTTCCCTATCTGCAAATATAAGGAAAGGTGAAAAAATTATCTTAGTTTATCTAGTTTAAAGATTCATAAGTAACTCCAAAGTTAGAACAGTTATTTAACATGGTATCGGTCTTAACACTGAACAGCTATAATGGCAACATCTTAAGCCATTTTTTTGTTTGTTTGTTTTTTGGCTATATGGAGTTGAAATGAGAACTGACATTCTCTTTGTTGACCTGTCAGCATTTTTCAAAATGTTAACCTTCAAAGTTTTTATCCATTTATATCTTTTACTCAATCTGTTCTTTTCTCCTATGTGTACATCAGAATAAAATATCTACCTACAAACAGACATACACAGAAATGGCTTTATAATATTGAAAATATCTTAATCACCAAAAACATGGCCTTAATTTGAAGATGATTTCTCAAGGTCCTGCTTATTTCTTCTCTGCTTAAGACTCTAGGAAGGTAGTTCTTCACCTACTTTGAATACAATCTTTGAGAACCTAACGAAATATGAAACTTCTTCCCAGAATCTTATATAAAATTTTCATGGACCACTGAAGCTCAATGACAGACTGTTAAGTTAGAATCTTCTCTGGACTTAGGGTAATAATATAATATTTAAATACCTTGGCTATAGCCTCTGTCCATTTTCTTTGAGCTTGAGATGTTTCAGCTCCAAATAAAAACACATGTTCTGAGGGCAAGTAGATCTCAAAGATAAAGATGGGCCTACAGCAGGCATGAATAAAAACACACCATCACTTAGTTATGTTTGGCTCTTACAAAAACACAAAGGTCAAGTATAAAATGGAATGATGCTACGAAATCAACTTATCTATCAGATTATTCTTTTAATGATTTGTATTTTATTCAAATGAGGTAAATGGAACACACTGGATCAGAGAAAAGGAATATTCTTCTGATTACTTAATCACTCTACTGCATCTCTACTGCATGACTGCTATGGATTGGATGTTCCCCCAAATTCATTGACACTTGGTCCCCAGGGTGACAGTGTTAAGAGGGTTGGAAATCCTATCGTGGTAGTTGAAAGCGGGCCTTGAAGAGGTGACTGGATTGTGAGGACCATGCCCTAGTAAATTAATAAGCTTGATAGTGGTCATGGGTGTAGGTCTGAAAACTTTAAAAGGGGAGTGCATGAGGAACGCTCTTTCTCTCTCTCTCTGCTTCTGACATTTCACCATGTGATAACCCTGCATCCCTGTAGAGTTACCTACCAAGAAAAGGCCTTCACTGGACCTGTTCCCTGGACTTTGGTCTTCCTAGCTCCAAAACTGTAAGCAATAAATACTGTTTCTTTACAAATTACTCAGTTTCAGATAGTTCTGTTACAAGCAACAGAAACAGAATGATACGATAACTTTGTTGATGCCCTGGATAACCATCAATTGACTGAACTGGCAAAAGGCTATCCTCTGTCTCCTCTTTTCTCTCAGATCCCTCCTTCTTGATTTACTCTGACCAACTGTTCAAAGCAAACATTGTCCAAACAGTTCTTAGCCCTCTTCTTATCTTAATTCACAATTTTTACTTCGGTCATCAAATCTTATCCCAGAATTTAATCTCCTACTGGTAGAGTAACATCCCATGTCCTGAATTCTTTCCTGAGTTCCTAATCCAAATCTCCAACTATTTCTTAGAACATGCTAAGTATGTGTGCAACTATTACATAAAAAAATCTCAAATACCCGACACCAAAGTCATCTTACTGCAACCCTTTTCACTTCGACACCAAAGTCATCTTACTGCAACCCTTTTCACTTCAAACCTGTTGTACATCCTTCATGTCCTAATTTAGAGCCATCACCATCGACTTAATTAACTCAAAACCTTGAAATTTAACTTATTCTTCCCTTAACATCAACTCTTCATCCAGGATTTTAATCTTATCATTTCAACCATTCAATCTTACTATTCCTCTTCTTTTTAATTATATCTTCCACTTGTTAAACTCTCAGCAATTATGGTCTCTCTTTCTCCAAACTCTTCCTTACTGTTTCTTCCAGCTTTCTTCCTAAAATATAAATCTGCACAACTCTTCAGGGCCTACGTTATTGAATTTACACTCTACAATTTGCTATTTAAGGTATTCAGAATTTGGCTGCAACAATTATTTTTTTAACTTCATCTCAGTGTAGATTGTTTTTCTCGTTCATCTACTTGTATCAGTAACATATCAAGAACGTTTTATTTTTGGTTATATTAGTATGCTGACATAAACTAATATTAATATTTTCAAGTTATATTTAATTTACTAATTAAGCAACTTAATACACAGAATGTACTTACTTTAAGATTCCATGTGAAGCCACACTAAACTGATTATTCTTTAAGATAAAAGCACTATTACGATTAAAACCAAAAGAAATAAACTAATAATCAGTTTTCTTCACATCAAAAATCAAGTCGGATTTACTAGAAAATAACAGTCCTCTTAACGGGTACATATGGGTCACTATATAATAATGGTAGTACATTCCAGGTAATTTTTTTATAAATAACAGCACTGAAAATCTCTTCCCCTTCTTCATATAAAAATCTTATTAAAATACTATGCTCTTGTAAAACTGATTTTTTACTATGCCCATGTAAACTGATTTATGATTTTTACTATGCCCATGTAAAACTGATTTCTACTTTTCACTAATTACATCAAAAAATATGATAAGAAACTTTCATACTAAAGACCTTAGGTGGTCTGTTTTTAAAGTTGTCAGAGAAATTCATTTAAACTACTATGTTAGTCAAATACATTACATAAGTAATGTTTAATCTTTTCACTGCAACTTTTTTTTCAGACCTTTAAAAGGCCAAAGTAGATCTTAAAGGAATTTAGCATTTCAATATCCTATTAAATATACTTAGTATTATGCTTAATGTAAATAAATCATCACCAAATATTCTCCTTTCTCATTTGTTTTAACCATCATACTCCTTAAATGAATGCATAAATCTTGCCATTAGTCCACTATTTTAAAAAATGAATGAATCATAAAAATTAAAGGACTACAATGGTCAAGAAGAGAATACTATAAATTTACTTAAGATTTGATGCAAACCTGTTAGCTTTTCATGGTGCCTAGTATAATATTTTAATTTTCTTACTTTTTAGTGAATTCACAAAGAAGCTTTCAGAAGGTCCAAGATAAGTACGCTTCAAGAAACTATTAAACGCTTCTACAAGAAGCAAATGAAGAACTGAAATGATAACAAAACCCTTGTTACCTGGCATGATATTTATCTGAAAATACCTTTCACCTTCTAATTGTTTAAAGGTTGACCTACCCAGTATTTATATAGAAGTCTTCTTTGTGTACGGCCAGGCAGATTACTTCATTGATATTAATGGTGCCATTAGGTGTGGTAGACTTATCATTTTCATAATAACTCAAGAAGCCTCCTTCCAAAACACACCACTTTTTTTTTGTCTCTAAGAATTTAAACCAAAAAATAATAATAAATTAAGCTGTATCACAAATCTAATTTTAAAAATATAAGGTTTTAAATAATGACTGAAAGCAAATAAATATACATATTAAATTCCTATTTTACATAAAGAATGGGCTATCCTGCATGGGATATAAAGTTGCCATACTCTGTGCTCTTAAAAAGTTTACAATCTAGTAGCAAGGAATGTACAAGACAAAAATGACTATATTAATAACCAGAAAAGCAGGAAGAACCATAAAGACGCTGCTGCAAAACAACTCTGCAATTGCAAAGACTATATCTGTAAACAGTACTAAAAGGAAAAAATGTAGCATAAAAAAGTGAGACTGCAGCTGACGGCAGGTATGTATGCAAAAGAAGAAAGAGTCAGAACTGCAGTTCCTTCAGTGCCTTGTTCGGGGGATTTAAAATTCATCCTGTATAAGAGGTAGCACAGTATGGCCTGCAGGCCAAATCAGACCACCTCCTGTTTTTATAAATAAAGTTTTATTAGAACACAGCCATAGCCAGATTGTCTATGGCTGCTTTGCTGCTACTAAGGTCAGAGCTGAGCTGCAGCAGAGACCATCGGGTCCCCAAAGTCAAAAATATTTACTATTGGACCCTTTTCAGAAAAGTCAAATGATTTTTGATTTTGCAGGTGTGATGAGCCATCGAAATGGTTTTGGCAGTGGAAAATGATCAGACTTGAATTTTACACATGCTGCTTAATGTGAAAAATGAATTTGAGAAGGTGAGGCCAGAAGCCAGAAGACACCACAATGCGAAAGAAGTTTAAGTGAGGGATGAAGAGGGATAAAGAAGGGGGTGGGAGATGGGAGTAGAAAGAGATATAGAGTCAGGAGGGGAGAAAGAAATGCGTTCACGTGTGTGAATGTTTTAAGGAGACAACACATACACTGATTGGTCAGAGAGCAAGGAGAACTTACTAATGATTGCATTATTCTTAGCTTTGATAATCAGGTAGACATTGATACCCACTTTTATTTAAAAAAATAAAGTAGAAACAATTTCAGTGCTTGCAATGTGAGTTTCCTTTTAGATACACTAAATGAGAGATATCTATTAGAAACCCAAGTAGAATCTGTTAGGCAGGTCACCCTACGAATTTGCATCTTGGAGGCAAGAAAAGGGCTTGATGACTAAAAAGTGTTTAGAATGCAGGAGATAGTTGAAAACATAAAATAACGAAGCATACAATCTTAGGGAACTTAGTAATGTAAGTAGTGACGGATGTCCATGAGAACAATTAAGCAAAGGAGAAGAGATCATTATTTAAGCAGAAAAGAAGTAGAGCATTTCGAAATGGAATGATTACCAATATTAAATACAGCAAAGACAGCCAATAAAGCAAGGACTGAGAAAACATCTGCTGGCTTTCATAATAAGGAGGTTACTGTCTATATTATTGAGCGTGCTACGAACAAAACCAGGCTGCAAAATATTGAAGACTGCAAGGGAAGACATAAGTGAAACCAGTCAGAGAAGATAATAGCCTGTGTAATAAAGGAAAGGGGATCCCAAGCTCAAATGAAGGCAAGAGCCTTGGTAAGGTGGATAGTGGACAATCAACTGAACCATGGATGGACATTTTCTTCTAAGAAAAAGAAAGGAATAAAGAGAAGAACTGAAAAGATACAGTTAGATCTTAAGGTAAGTTAGTTAAGTAAGGTTAGTTAAGCATATTAGCACCCTACCTAGCTAACCCAATTTATCCTTCAAAACTGGGCTCAGTCACAACTTCTCCTGGGACTGTTCTCCAACCCTCCATCACTCTCCCCAGGACCAGATAAGTATCTTCCTGCGGTACCCCTAGCACTATGTGGACCCTGAAAAGGTGGGATTAGAAGTCAAAGACTCCAGGTTCTAATAATGCTTCCATCACCACCTGGGTACCTTTGAAAAAGAACTTAACTTTTCTGAGCGTCAGGTTCTTCATTCATAAAATGGGGATAAGAAAAGCATCTAATACATAGGTTTGTTGCAGTGATTAAAAGATGCAAAGCATGTAAAGCACCTAGGAAAGTGACTTTATATGTGGCTCTGTAAACATGTACTACCATTTTTTAGATGATATAACAATTTTCATTTAATGCAACAATTTAAAATGCTATTTTTAAAAATAACTGCAATTTTTGAAAAATGTAACAATTTAGATATGTTTGTTTATTCACCAATACTGAGAACAAAAACTATTTTCTATTCTCAAAAACCACCACATTGCTCAGCCTAGGGAAAATTTGTTGAAATGATTATTTTCATAAATTGGGAAGTAAAGTTACTAGTTAAGATGGCTTGGATGAGGTTGCAAACTTTGAGAGAAATGCAAAGATGATAAATATATTAAAGAATCAATAAGAGAATCCTAGATGGAATTACTTTGAAGCACAGAAAGATGAATCCATGTTTGCTTCTCCATTCCCTCCCAAAATGCTAAGACAATGACATTGAAGGGATAAAAGGTATAAACTCAAAAGGACAAAGAGAACCAAAGAGACCTGCAGTATATAAGAAATGATTGACTTGTCTGAAAAGCAAAAGCTGGTCTATTTAGATGTGAAAAGAAAAAAAGTCAACAAGAAGTAAGCAATGTTCTACAAAGCTCCAGATAGTGCTGGAGAGGCTAATACCTCCAGAGGTACAGGATAAAAAAAAAAAAAAATAGAGCTGAAACACATAAGGGCTATTAGGCCCATATATTTTCTCCACTGTGCTCAGCAACATCCTCTCTTCACCCATCTGAAAGTTGGGTCCTTTACCCTGGAGAAATTAGACCTGCCAGATTCTAAACTGGGAGACTCAAGCAATGAACAGAGGCAGAGGTAATGTGCCATCCTGAGAACAAAGTGATTCCATGACATTCTACCCACTAAATAAACAGTGAGATCCCCAGTCACCTCCCCACATTAACATACAAAATGCTGTAGCCAGTAATATCCAAGACTCCCATCCTAACACTCTCAGCAAGAGATCGGTGGAGGCTTCTGGCTAACTGATCCCAACCATTTAAAATAAAGCTTCCAAGAAGGGACTCTCTTCTACAGCCTCCAGAAGGAGCATAGCCATGCTGACATCTTGATTTCAAACCAGAAATACTTACTTTGTACACCTGATCTTGAGAACTGTGAGAGAATACATTTCTGTTGTTTTAAGCTACCAACCTTGTATTTGTTACGTCAGCCATGATAAACTAATATAATAGGGAAAATAACAACTATCTTGTAAAACGGCTGTGAGAATTTGTGATTATCTACACAAAGTTCACAGCATAACGATGACCACATAATAATCAATAAATGTTATTATTGTTAAACATTTTTTTTCAAAGAAAGCTTCCAGTATGAAAGACAGAGCTGAAGCACAAAATAATAATTTTTAAAACTATGATTAACATCAGATGGTGAGGGAAGATACTTTATCTACACAAGATCAGCATGCTCTAAAAAGAAAAATTAAAAATACACAAAAAAATTTGATGATTACAAATATACCATAAATAAATTTTAAAAAGAGAGAGAGCATAAAAAGGGAACTCTCCCCAAAAGCAAAATAAGAGACAGAAAATAAGATAATTCCAGATGGTCAATTTATAAGGTCCAACATCCAGCTAATATTATTTCTAAGAAAAAAGTGAAAATAAAGATGAGAAAATTTGTCAAGACAAATGGATAATGTTTAAGAATGAAAAAACAAGGAAAAAATTTTTGTTTTCCATTGAAACTATGTACATATATTGCTTCTGTAAAAGAAAAATTAGATATAAAATATTGGTTATAAAAATCCCCACTTAGTACTTTACACCCAAATCAGGTAAAAACAAATAAATAACAACAAAAAACCTGTGAGAATTTAGGCTGACTCCCTAATTCTGATGTTTCTCTGCAATCTCAAAGGTCTGGAAATGGAAACCATGAAAACAGACAGAGGAGGCTAGAGAAGCTGTTTGCAGATAGCCAAGGACACATAAGAATTTTAAAAGAAACAAGCAGTTCTGAGGAGTAGCAAAAATACTTCTAAAATCAGTATAGAAATACAAATAAAGGTCAAAGAGGGCTGATACACAAGAACTGGAAATGTTTCAGGTTGATTAACAAGAATAACTGAAAAGGGGAAAGGGTCACATATAAAAAGAAGGCCCAGGGCCGGCCTGGTGGCGCACTGGAGGGTGCGCCGCTTGGGAGCGCGGCGGCGCTCCCGCCGTGGGTTCGGATCCCATGTGAAGACCGGCTCCCGCTCACTGGCTGAGCGTGGTGCGGGCGCGACACCGAGGGTTGCGATCCTGTTGCCGGTCCCCGGTACGGGCGTGACACCGAGGGTTGCGATCCCGTTACCAGTCAGTAAAAAAGACAAAAAGAAAAATAAATAAATAAATAAAAAGAAGGCCCAAACACAAAAATCTAATTTCGTCTTCTAGTGGGTTTTACATGATCATGAATTTCAAAAGTATCCACGTGACTCCTTCCATTTAGCTTATTTTCTGACTGAATCTTAGGCATCAAAAATATAAATGCCAAAGAGTTCAAACAAAGGGATGAGTGACAACCATACAGAAAAAACTTCATATAATCTGCCTTTGCATTGTCAAAATTTATTCATCTTCATCGGTCCTTTTTAGTTTTCTCACTTAAAAAAACTGAAATAAGGGCCTTGCTAACTGAGCAACAAAAAACCAAGTCCATCCCATATATTATGGATTTCCTATTAAAAGACATTAATATGAAAATCAAATTCTGAAAGATTTGTGTTGTTTCCTATGGGTTTCACTGATGTAATTCAAAGTCTATAGTTTGCCAAATAACTCCTTGAACAAGTGAGGTAAAATCAAACTCAAATTTTTCAAACAAGCAATGCTATAAAGGAAAAATTGTTTAATTTTTTCAGTTTCCCTAAATAAAAGGAATTATTTTTGAACTATCACCTCACCTTCCTGTTTTTGAACTCAAGAGATTACACAAATCCTCAAGTTGTAAGTTATTGCCA